TGAGCTTTTCTGTGTGTGTTTTAGCTGGTTTCCAGGCCTCAGCAGTTTGATGTGATGGTCATGCCTAACCTTTATGGCAACGTTGTGAGCAACGTGTGTGCCGGCCTGGTGGGTGGACCCGGCCTGGTGCCTGGAGCCAACTACGGAGAAAACTACGCTGTGTTTGAGACGGTGAGACAGGGTTAATGAGATCTCTACATGTCTTGTGGGTTCTTTGTTTTTCTAGCGGCTCTCTGGGGTTAGCTGCAGTTTTTCTAGGGTCCACTTGAGGCTCTCTCCAAAAGCGAGTCATCTTTGTGGACTGCCCTGTTAAAATCCCACCGTTAAAGCATCAATAGTCATGTTAACAGCCTCGTACAACAAAGGTTTTGGTCTCTATCAATATCTATAACTCACCAGCTAAAAGAAGAAGTTGGAGTTGGGTGTGTGTGGCCACTTTGACTGGCTAAGCTTCCTGTATCGTCAGTGATTTGTCTGCTAGCCTCGCCTCCACTAACTGGAATCACTGAACTGGTCCGGTTTTCAGACAAGTTTTTTGTGGTCTGTATGATGTTCATCATCTCCTAATGAACACACGTCCATGGCTGGGTGGTCTGAGTCCTCCTCACCTCACCCTCGGCAGCTGAATCCCAGTCCTGCTTCTGGTCGTCTGGTTCTTTCCTTCTTTTCTATTTCACCTCTTTCATGTGAACGTGCAGCGTTAACTTCCCTCTTTTGAATTTTTCCCTATTGTGTAATCTAAGCAATTTTTAACGAAACCATAATTGTTGTTTTTCCAATCAAGCTCTATACGCACATGTGAGTGTACACTCACTCAAGCCTCCCCTGATGTAACATCTCATTTTTGTAAGGACGTATAAAAGGATGTATCACTTTTCTAAATGTGCTCTTCTCTGTACAGGGCACCAGGAATACTGGGAAGAGCATCGCTAACAGGAACACGGCAAACCCCACGGCCATGCTGCTGGCCTCCTGCCTCCTGCTGGATCACCTTAAGCTCCACGGCTACGCCAGCATGATCCGCAAAGCCATCCTCTCTACAATCACCGATTCCCAGGTACGATTTGACCAATGCTACATGCAATTTGTTGGTGGTATTCAACTTTTATTGTTACGTCCTGCTTTGTATTTCGACATTACTCTAAATATGTCATCTCCTTTGTGTTCCAGCTGCACACTGCTGATCTGGGAGGTAAGGGCTCCACATCTGAAATGGTCCAGTCCATCATGGATGCAATCCAGAGCAGTGGACCTCGCACACAGAGACACTAGAAACCAGATGACTGTACGATTGCACCTTTCATTGTAAGACTGGACTGAAGCTGTAATGTATGGACAGCTTTTATTTCCTATGTGGGTTCAGTGGTTTAAAAAGCCCTCTGTGTAAAGCAGAAATATATAATAGTACTATGATAGATATTATATTCAAGATTTCCTAATTATTGTATGAATAATTTGTGAAACTGCAAAAAATAAAGCACCTGTTTGAGATCCAACTAATGCTTTCTATGTATCTTATTCTGGATCGATTTCTTATTATTATGGAAAACTGTTATAAACCGTGCACTAAAAATCAAAACATTAACCAAACTGTTGTCACCTACTGAAATATAGCTGTTCCAGCTTTGCATTTCACATCATATTGTGCAACCACAACATTTTGATGCATGGGTGGATGGATGGCTGAATGGATAAATTACTGTGCCTATTTTGCACCCCCCATATTTGCATTCTTGGACACCTACAGAGCAGCTTTGCACAATTCAAAGATAGAAAAAGTAATCACGTAAAATAAGCTGGAGCCCTTTAGTTCCTCCACTGTCTCTTTAATTAGTGTTTAGAGCCTGAGCTTTGGGCTTACAGGGATTACTTGCACTTACACCTCAGTATTTGAAACTCTGGTCATTTTTATATGAACCACTGTGATAATAAATATATGGAAAATGTATCGCAGCCCTGCTTCAAATAACTAAATATAAATAAAGTAACTCAGATCACAGATCAAGTTGGTCAATGGCAGTCTTTCCTTAGACTTCTAATGGAAGTATTTTTGCAACCAGAAGTCGCCCCCCGCTGGCCAGTAGAAAGAATGGAGGTTTAAGGCATCAGAGATACGGTTAACTAAAAAACTGGGGAGCATCCATCCATTTTTTACCTGCATGAATTTATTTTGGCTTGTTTTAAATGGGAGGGGCCAAGGCTACAGGTGTTGTAACATGGTGTTAATAACAGTAATTATGTGATGTGGCAGCCCTCTGGTCACATTTCCTTCCGTCTCGTCTGTGTTGTTGTGCAGTTTTCAGAGTGGGCGGGGTTAATTAGCGCTAATGGGCGCACCTGTTCAGTCTCCGCAGAGCATTTAAGAGCTGGCTGCGTCGTTCTCTCCCCGTCCACCCAGCATCACAGTGTTTGTTTGGGTCCCTTCAGCCTCATTATTTTGTGTTTTGCACTACACAACACCAGACGTTTCAATACTCCTCCAGATGCTGATGCGCCGATAACACTAACAAACCCCATCAATTTAATTATCGTTTTGCTTCTTATAAATACAATTAAAGATCAATCCTATTCACAGAATTACACACCCACCATGGTGGTATTTCCATTGCCCTCCATTTAAAGGTAAAAATACAGCATCAAATGTAACACAATAAACATTCAAGTGATTGTGAAACATCCCTTTATAATCAGTGAAAATCAGTTAATTGAAGGCTTAACCAGAGTGTTTTTAACTTAGAGGTTTCTGTTTGTTCACAGTCTGATGGTTAGAAGGTAAAAGGCCCACCGTTTTAAAAGGGTGGAGTTACATAGACTCACACATGTGTCCTACAGATTGACATATGCTGGGTGTGTGCGGTAATTTATTAAGTTACTGTGAATTCTTTCGGCCTTGAGACAGTTTCTCCATCAACCATCACAACCAGCTACATGAAAGTATCTGTTGCAGTTTAACTACACTTCTGATGACTAGTTATGGAGAGTAAACAGGCAGAGAGTCTCACCCTGACGTAAATCCAGATTCAATTTAATTTGGTTCAACTTTATTTATATAGCACCAAATCACACCAACAGTCTTCTCGAAGCACTTTATATTTTAAGGTAAACACCCCACATTAATAGAGAGAAAACCTCAACAATCAGCACTTGGCAAGAGTAGGAAGGAAAAGTCCCTTTTAACAGGAAGAAGCCTCCGGCAGATCCAGGATCAGAGAGGGGCACCTATCTTGCGACTGGATGGGGTGAGGGGAGGAAGAGAAGAAAAGGACATGCTGTGGAAGAGAGCCAGAGATTAATAAGAACTAATAATTACATGCAGAGAGGTGTATGAACACATAGTGAGTCATACATCATGAGCATCATGGGAATCCCCCAGCATAACGTATTGCAGCATAACTAAGGGAGGATTAAGGACCTCCTGATCCAGCTCCAACTATATGCTTTAGCAAAAAGGAAAGTTTTAAGCCTAACCTTAAAAGTAGAGACATCTTTTAAGTTCAAACTAGAAGCTGGTTCCACATAAAAGGGGCCAAAAGGCTGAAGGCTCTGCCTCTCATTCTACTTTTAAATCCTCTAGGAACAAAAAGTAAGCCTGCGGTCTGAGAGCGAAGTGCTCTAATGGGATAATATGGTACTATAAGGTAATGAAGATAAGATGGGGCCTGATTATTCAAGACCTTGTATGTGTTTTGAATTTGATTCTGGACTGAAGAGAAGCCAATAGTGAGAAATATGTTCTCTCTTTCTAGTCCCTGTCACTACTCTCACGGCAGCATTTTGGATCGACGGAAGGCTTTCAGGGAGTTTTCAGGACAATTAAAATGGATCAGTAGCCATTTTTGAATAAAATCAACATTCAACTACCTGTGTGGCTTTTTTTTTCTAGAACCAGGCCTCAATAATGGTTTCCAGTTAACTGGAAATAAAAGACAGGAAGCAAAATATCTCTCACCCGTAGCTGGAAGTTGCAGATCTATGAAAGGTTAGACTTCACAAACAAGTAAAAGGACTTTACAGTCTTTTCTAAAAGGCGCAGGAAGCCAGTACACTGACACAAGCTGCGAGACATCAGTATGCATGACCTGCCTTAAAAGGATAAGTTTCTTCAGTAGGAACAGAGCACAGCGGGTAATGAAGGGATTTGCTGACCAAAACAAAAGTCTTTTTTTTGACTGCCGTGCAGCTAAAAAAACCAACAATTCACACTTAAACTAAAACTAATTGAAGCCTGGTGTTCATGCTTAATACTTAACAGACATAAGAAAGTCGTTTATACACAAATGGCGGAGCAGCAATGAGCCTCGCGCTCGACTGTTTCTGTGTGTATGTTTAAGGTTGCTCTGCGGGCCCCTCGATAATTAGAGGCCTCTCCAAATGAGGGAGCAATCGAGGGGAAGCAAGCAGATTACCGCCCCGTCAGAGGGAGAAGGAATGAGAGCGGGAGAGGAAACTGGAATGCAGGACAGCGAGATGCAGAAGAAGGGAAAACAGTGGAGCAGGGGTGAGAGGGAAAAAGGTTGCTGAGAAAGACAAGTCTCCTTCTGTTGCTGCTGCCTTCTCATTTCTCTCCAAAAACCTGAGCTCCCATCTGTCACAACATCTGACACTCTCTCTGCCCGCCTGTTCACACCCCTCTCGACCACCCGCTGATGTAAACTCACACGTACGCATATTAGTTTGCGCGTATGAAGGGTCTTTGATCATTTCTGGAAGCCTAATAGAGAAAATCTCATTTCATCTGCTGGTGTATGTTCCCCATGATCTGCTCTGAAGGGTGGATCAAAAGCAGGGCCAACGGCCACATGTTTAATATCAATAATCAACAGGAAATCACATTAATTCGCAAACACTGCCCGGGCACTGCGTCCTTTCATCACCCTCTCCCTCCTCCTCTTCTTCTTCCACTTTCATAAAATCCAGAAAGGCGAGAGAGAGAGAGAGGGATGTGCTAAAGAGGAGAGAGAGGAGAAACAGCAGAGCGAGTTGGCAGAGGTCACCATCAGTGTAATAAGCACACAAACGCACACAGACACATGCAGCAGACACAGCATGGATGCAGCTAGTGTGTGCAACAGCAGATCAGGTTGTCCTGGCTCCTACAGATGCTTCACGGGACGCTGAGGAGGAGGTGAGTCGGCTCCGTCTCCTCGTATTTCCCTATGATTTTCCTGTTTTTCATGAAAATGGGAAATTAAAATCTGTACGGATAGATGTTAATTTTAGTCAGGCACTTTAAACCTCCTGTTTCATGCTCTTTAGGGGTTTTTTTTTTAATCAAAAGCGGTAGAGGATTGCAAAAAACGAGCAAACTGAATTGATTTTTAGCTTTACGGCTTCTGCAAAGCAAATTATGTGTAAAGCAGCAGGTGTCCAGCTTTCTAATAGGATTAAAGGAGCTGAAAGGTGTCAACAAACTCAGCTCCGTGGGCTGGAGGGAATTCTCTGTTCATCTCTAGTGCTTCCAACCTGACACCTCCGGCTGACTGGAAAATATTTTCTCCTCTTCCGACTGAAATTCATGATGTTCAAACTGAAGCTTAAAAAGAAAACAGAAAAGACTAAAGAAAACTAATGATTTTAGCTTTAGCTTTGCCATTTTTGCAAAGCAATAGGCAAATAACCTTCAATATAAAGCAGGCGTCTAGCCTTCGTCATCAGTCTCGGCTGTTCAGTTTATTTAAACAGATACTGGAGTGACTCCTGTATTTAGCTCCTGCGCAGACACCTCTGGCTGAATGAAAAATACTTTCTCACCTGCAGACTCTAACATTTACATCCTAAAGTGTTTCTTTCTGTCAGACTTGGCAATAATTTCAACAAAAACATAGAAAAAGAGGAAACACAAAAGAGATCTGATGACTTTTCTTTAGTTTTGACATTTAATTAGCATTTCGTGAATGAGTTTTAACTGCTGCAGTTTTTTATTATATAACTAGTGGAGGATGAAGTTAAAAATCTGTTAAAGTATATATCATATAATAAATTATCAATATTACTGTATCCATGCAAGGTTTTACTGTTGGAGTTCATTTAAATCATTTTCTGTCTGCTAATGATTGTTTTTTTTTAAATCAATAATTTATCTGCTGATTCTTTTATTGTAAAAATTGGGATTAAATCAGAAACTCGGCCATGATCACCTCAAACGATTTTTAAAGCAGCTGCCAGTTCAGATGATTCACTGGCAAATCCCTTTAGCTGTTTTTGTACAAACTGAATTTTAAAAAGATGATGTTTAAAATGTAAACAAAAACGGACTGCAATGATGTGCAAATGTCACAAACCTGCATTTTATTCGCAATAGAGCACAGAAAACATATCAAATGTTTAATCTGAGAAATCTGACAGCATTTAAAAAAAAATCCTTTTTAAATTTGGTGACATTAACACATCTCAAAAATGTTGAGGCAGGTGTTTAAAAGGCTGGAAAAGTGGTACTTTTAACAACCGGAGAATCACTTTTCAAGTAATTAGGTAAAATGGCAACAACTAACATTGACTGTTTGATGTGAAAATAGCATCTTGGAGAGACAGAGTGGATCTATTTCTGAATAATGTTCATCAATGTAATATTGTGAAAACTCTGAATACTCATCATCTGCAGTATGTGATATCATCAAAAAAAATCTGAGAATCTCGAGAAATCTCTGTGCACAAAGGACGAGGTTGGCAGGTATGCCTGTGATGGACGGGTCCTCCGACAGCACTGCATTAAAAACAGACGTTATCACTGCATGGACTCTTCCAGGAATCATTGTGAACGGTTCACGGTGCCATCGACAAACGCAGTTATAAGCTCTAGCATGCAAATGACGATGAAGGTTTGACTGGATTTATATTTGATGACAGCTTGATTAAAGGCATTTAAAACGTGTGACATCCTCCTGCGACGAGCTGCTTTTTAGTAAGCAATCAGAAGCATGTTGCATTGTTATCCGCATACCAAAGTGTTTGACTCCAAACGTGGATGAACTTAGAGCAACCTCATTAGGAGCTCAGATCATCAAAGTATGCGAGCAGTTTGCTGCGTTTAATCCAAATCCTGACCTAATCCAGTTTTGAAAACACAAGCAAACGCATCAGCTCTGTGTAGACCAGGGGTGTCAAACTCCAGTCCTCGAGGGCCAGTGTCCTGCAACTTTTCCATGTGTCCCTGTTGCAACATACCTGAATACAATTAGTAGGTCATTAGCAAGACTATAGAACCTGACTGCATGCTGAGGTGAACATTCAGCCATTTGATTCATGTTACAGCAGCTCATGTGTGAATGAACATGATGCAATAAAAATACTTTGAGAAGTATATCTTTCCAAACACATTTACTTAAATTTACTTGAGTGGGATTAGGGGTTGCCACTTCAGCATGCAGTCAAGTTCTATACTCTTGCTAATGACCTACTAATTTTATTCAGGTGACACATGGAAAAGTTGCAGGACACTGGCCCTCGAGGACTGGAGTTTGAGCCCCTGGTGTACGGTGTGAACGTCCTTGGATGTTCCAGCATCAGTGTGCACTTCACGGGCAGTTTGGTGCCTCCTCAAACTTGGACCTGGATCTGATTTCATGACCAAGCAGGACATCTGTCTGATTTTGAATGCCATGTGTGGAGTTGCACCGGGAACTGAATTAGGACCTATAGACTTTCAAAAATGGATTAACAGTTCAAGATAAAACAGAACACTGGAGGCATATGGATGAGATGACTCATGACCCAGGTGTGAGGTCATCATTATCCATGGTAACTTCTAGCGAGTCAGTGGGTAGACCATGCTATAACCTCAACCAAGACGAAGCTTTCTTTTTCTACTGCCCAAAGAAATTTGTTGTCTGAGACTAAGAAGTGTTTTTATGTATGCAAATGCTGCATGCATCTACTGATGTCTGTCACACTCACCTGACTACAGAAGCACTTAAAACAATGAAAACTATGCAGAAATGGGCCTGTAAAAATCAGACTTGGCCAGAGGTTCTTAGGACACTTGAACAGCTCTTTGCACACTTGGATTTTGTAGGTCCAACTTTGCTTTGGGTTTGCTGGGAAGCTGCTTAAGTCTACCTTTACCAGCCACTTCCATGTAGGGTTTAACAATAGTTCAGGAGAGGTGATTTATTCACATACAGAATAAATTAGACTGCCCCGGTGCTCAGAATCTACATGATACGTGCTGGTGGTGATGAAGATGGCAAAGGAGGCTTGGATAAGGAGGAAGCAAGTCAGAAAGGCAAATAACAGAAGAGCACGGAGCTTTAAACCGCAAAGAAGAGAGACTGATTGGGTAAAAGGAGGAAAAGAGAATGATTGGCCTACAGTAATGATGTTGATGCTGAGTTTGATGGGAAAGAGGAAGTGATGTAAAGAATATAATAGCAGCCTGAACACCAAGGAAAATCAAACAGATTAGCTCTTTATTGAATAAATGCATAAACTTCAAAAATGATTGAAAAAAAAAACCTGTTTTGGACGTTATTTAGATTAGTGATTATTTCAAATAAATACTCAAAGAATTTGGGGGAAATGGATGGAATGAGTACAATAACTGAAAGAATTGAAAAGAAGGAAAAAGAAAAAAGAAACAAACAGTGCATCTGACAGAAAAAGAAAGGGAACATTTTCAAATGTTTTTATAGGATCTTATACAACAGTGCCATTTGTCTGGCCCATTAGCGATCAAATTAGTCTTTTTGTGTCCCGTGAGCTAAAAAGAGATCAACACTTCTTCCCTAAACAAACAAATAAAGGGGCGGAGGGCTTCAAAAATCACAAACAAAGACACTCGGCAGTTTTTACAGTTCAGTGCACACACGCAGACACAATCATAGAGCCCACAGGGCTCATCAGACCAAATGTGAAGGCAGTAATGAAGTCCTGTTGTTTGGCCAGTCTCCAGTGAACATCATTACAAACTTACAGGCAGTTAGAGATTTCCCCCAAAGCTGCACCTGATTCTAAGAATTTAACAATAAACTTTTTATAGTGACTGAAAATACATCAAATTAAGAAAAAATTGAATAAATAAATAGATTTTAAATTAACTTGAGTGCTGTACTTCAACCCACTTTTGAGGTGCTTGTATTAAACTTTCTAAAATGTAATAATAATCACCTGTATACAAAAGATGGACCAGGAAAGATTAACGTTTGTTTCACAGTTTTCCTTCATAACGATGTCATCGTCTTGTCTTTCTGTGGTGTTCCCCTCCTGTCCCAGCCAGCATGTCCGTTTCTGTGATAACAGACACGTATACGTCCATCGACCGGCCGGCGGTCTCTGAGACCCCCACCGGTGCTAATGCTACAGGGCAGGAACGAGACGCCCTGCTGGCCGTGGCCGAGGTGGTGGTGCTGGCGGTCATCTTAGTGATGGCGTTACTTGGCAACGGGCTGGTCCTGGTGGTGTTGCTAAGACGAAGGCGACACCACAACCCCCTGCACCAGTTCATGCTGAACCTTTGTGTGGCTGACCTGGTGGTGGCGCTGTTCCAGGTAGCACACACTCATTCACGTTGTGGGTTATATGTGTGTTATACGTCACTACAGGTGTGTAATTGTAGTATTATCTGAAAATATGTGCAGATACAATAATCTGGAAATGTGATCTTTTTTTTTACAGTTTGTAAACAAATACATAAATCTGGAAGAAGACATAAACACACTGAAGTCAGCAAATGTCTTCACAGGTTTCCAAATATGCACACCTATATGTAAATGTGAACTAAACTGGGGTAAAAGTGCACATGAATCTATTATGTGGGGCGACCGTGGCTCAGGGGGTTGGGAAGCGTATCTGTAACTGGAAGGTCGCCGGTTTGATCCCCGGGCTCTCTGTCCTGGT